GTCAGAGGGAGAAGCAGACTCCCCCGCCGAGCAGGGAGCCCGATGCGGGACTCGATCCCGGGACTCCAGGATCATGACCTGAGCCGAAGGCAGTCACTTAACCGACTGAGCCACCCGGGCGCCCCCTGTGCGCATTTCTTGTGCTCTTGTTCCCAGCACTAAAAAAATCAAGCAGCATGCGTCCCCTGGGTACAGAGATGGGTCACAGCGCTGCGGAAGAGGAAGTCAAGGAGTGGCCAGGTGGCCCACTGACACCTCAAGCCGATGGAAAGATGGCGCGAGTCCCGAGCACGGTGGCGCTGGCAGTCAGACGGAACAAGTGACGCCACAGGTCATCTTCCGTCCACACCTCACTTCACACAGCCCCACGGGCCTTGAGCACACTGTTCTGAGCTGTCCCGGACATTCAAGAAGGGGGCCCCATGTGGGTCTCCTAGCCCAACCGAGGCCTCTGTCTACAGTGCAGGCCTTCGCCTCCACAGGGGACACAGCTGACATCACAGGAATGTCAAGCCCCCGCCAGTCTCCACCTCAGTGACTAGCTGGCCAACCAGTCAGGACAACAGACTTACGGCACCAGGCAGAAAGGCACCGGGAGACAGAGGAGGTGCGGGAAGCAGAAGCTGGGATGTGGACAAGACACGCCAGCACGGGGGTGCCGTTCCACCGCCCTGATCTCTGGGGAGAGACCCCTGAGCTAAGCCCCAAAGGCCTAACCACATGTTCACACAATCTCCTGATGCTCCCTCCCACGCGCCTCCCCAACAGGAACAGCTAATGTACGCGGGGTCCACTTTGCAGAAGAGAAGACTGAGGCACAGGAGGTGGAGTCATGGGAGAAGAGGGAAGAGACAGGACGGAGTCCAGACAACCAAGCCAGAGTTTCGCTGAGCGTGGACGCAGAGCTAGCTCCTCAGAGCCTCCCGATGGTGGGCGGCATGTGGCCGCCCCTCTCTGCCCTCACAGGACACCTGCCGGACACCCCACGGGCCACCACTGCCCAGCACGCGTGCAACTCACCTGTACGGTAGAGATCTGGACAGGAGGGGCACTTGTGGGGGTTGCAGGGCGGGGCGCCATGGTGGTCTGAGGCTGGGTCTGCACGTGAGCCTGGGCCTGCATCTGGGCCAAGGCCTGCTGAGGAATCATTAACAACTGCCCGTTCTCGCTCCGCACGAGGACCATACCTGGGGATAAAGGAGACCTGGCATCAGGAGACGTGCCCCACACACACACACACACACACACACACACACACACACACACGGCCGGTGAAGGCGCTGACCCTACCGCTGGGGAGCCTGACGTCTCTGAGAAGAAAGGAGAAGCTGTAAGACATGCTGAGTCTCTGAACTCGAAACACACTTGCCAATGAAGATGGCATCCAAGACGGGAAAGCACACAAGGTTTTCTCCACAGGATTCAAGCAGCAGGTGAGTCTTCCTTTCAGAAGTCAGCCAGGCAGCAAAGCTTCTGCAGGCCACACCACCTGCCCCACGGCCACCTGCACTGGCCTGCAGAGAGGGCCACGCACCCCTCTGGGGAGGAAGCCAGGCACAGGGCCCCACGGCCAGGCAGTGTCCCCACCACCACTCCTGGCCATGGCCAGGTTCCTAGGGCGGCAGGTGTCACTCGGCCCCCGGCCCCACTCCTCGTCTCTGGAGGTGGCAGCCTGGCCTCTCCACCCCACCTCTTCTCCTGCCCAGCGGGCTGGACTGGGACATGGGAGACACAGTGTGCCTACGGTCTGGGGTCTTGTGAAGCCCGAAGCAAGCAGTCCTCCTGGGAACATGAGTCCCCTCTCGGGTGTGGGGGCAGCACTGTGCCCGCGGCTAACCTGGGACACCCACTACACAGAGACAGGGACCCCCACCACACCTCGCAGTGCTGTAGCTAAACTGCTGGAAAGTAAGTCCAGTCAGTCAGATTTGGCATTAATTTTAGCTTGAAGAACCGGCAACCAATTACGTCGTAGATTCCACTAGAAATAATCTATTTTAGTGTCTAACTCTCACATTTCCCCGGACAAAGTGAGTAACAGACAGCACACTCACGCTCACGCAAGGCCCCAGCAGAAGCCCAGGGCCGCAATGCTCCAGTGGGAAAGGAGGCCTCTCCCCCGCGCGGACCGGCCTCCCACGGACTGGACTGAAGGCGGTTCTCTCCACACAGGGAGGGCTCTCCACGCAGGGAGGGCCAGCCAAGAACCCCCCGTGAGCCTCACACCAAAGCAGCACCGGGGTTTTCCCTCCTGGACCAAACAGAAGCTTGAGCCACCCCAGGACATCCACGAGGAGCCCCTGAACCTCAGGGTCCTGGCTCCTTCAACAGCCAGCAGGACATGGGAACAGAACAGCCTCTCCTTGGGCTTACAGCTACAAGCCCTGATTTAAAGGAACCACATTTATGCCCAGTAAGTAAGCTTCTCTCCAAAACGTCCCTTTTACAATAATGCACGCTGAAATTTAAAAACAAAACAAAACAAAACCAGCTGCTGCAAATAACTCACTCTGCTAAAATCTCCCAGACCTGGGAGCCTGTGAGCACACTGGGGACCCCAAAAGAGCACACCGGGCCAACTCCTCCTGATGCCCATCTCTCAAGCCCACCACTCCCTCGTCGTCACCAGGCACCCTTCCACACGGAGACCCCGCTCCGTCCCCGTGAGGACTCCAGGAAGCCAGTCGCTGATACCACGGAGGAGCGAGGAGGACAGCAAGGCCCCTGTGACTTAGCGCGCCCCAGCTTCAAGCTGGCTAATACATCAGCGGATGAACGTGCTTCAACAGTCAGGTGCTTTTCTGCCGAAAGCATTCCTTCCCCAGAAACTTAACGGAAGATTTAAATAAACACTCATGAAACAGCAGTGTGGCTAACGAGAATGAAGCTGAGGCTGCGTGCCGCCCGCCATGCAACATGCCCGCGGTGACAACCGACATCTGAGAAGAAAGTGACCCTGAGACCCCAAGCAGGTAACTTCACCTCAGGTCGGCACTCAAGGTATGTCCGAGTGGGCACGTGAGTAGACAGGTGAGAGTGACGGACACAACGGGGAGACAGGGACGCAGCTGCTCTGGAATGGCCGCAAAGCCACCTGCCGGGCCCCCACTGCGCGAGACGCCGGGGGCAGCCCCGCAGGCCGAGGGAAGGCTGTGTGCGCGTGGGGACAGGCTCCCCGGTCTCCCCGGCTACGCTGCGCTGCAGCCACTGATCAGGCGGAAAGCACGACAGCCCGACCCTAGTCGCTACACTGACAGCTGCATCAAAGGGCGTCAAACGCCACATTTAATGACATTATCACAGTCCCGGATCTTGTAAACTCCCATTATAACCACTCATTTCACACACAGAAGCTGCTGTGCAGTGTCTTTTCTTGCAAAGGCCAAGAAACAGAACTTTGTCTCAAAGTCGGCACCGGGAGGCCACCCCCTCCCCAGCCCTCTGCAGGTGCAAGATGGGGTCCGGGAAGGGCCCCCGCGGGTGTGGCCCACTCCCCCTTACAGATGGGCCACCTGACACACCAGTGTCCTCCTTCATAGACGCATCCAAAGCACACTCCACACACACACACCCCGGCAGCCAAGAGCAGGACTGCACATGGCGGGCTTCTTCGTCAGACCCCTGACACCAAAAAACACGCTTCCGTTTCAAACGACCCTTCAGGACCTGTCCGGCCAAGGTGGCCAATCCCCGAAGGCAGTTCACGGGCAGGGTCAGGAGCCACAGATGGGCCTCCCCTCTGTTCAGGACACACAGGAGCCAAACCCCGCCTGTCCGCACAAGCCGCCAGTGTCCACCTTAGCTGCGGTGTGGCAGGAGGGCCTGAGGCCGTTACCCTAACCCTAACCACCCCGATCAAGCAGACAGGAAAGAACTCAGCTGTTCTGTCTTAATCATCGTAACACCTTGCTGGGAATAGCGGGTCTGTGTGGCAGACTTGAAAATTCGGAGACGTCCAAGGACAACAGAAATCTGCCCAGTAAGTGCCCTCCAGTCACTGTGCACGTGGAGGACATGTGTTTGGACGGCGGTGACGAGAACACAGGCCGTGGCATCTCCTTCCCCTCACTGCTTGTATCGCGAGTCATTTCCGTGTTGTTGAACATTCTTCAAAAGCAGTTTTCAGTAGCTACATAATACTTCATCCGAGACAAACGTACCATTTCTTTATTGCTTAGGCTGTTGGGCTATTTTCTGGGTTTCGTTGCTGTGAAAGCTCAGGTTTTAAAGCGACCACGTGCAGCATGAACGCCCTGCCGGCAGTTCCAAAGGCCGCTGTCCGGCGGAGCCCCGGCCTCCGCGCTCAGCCGCACGAGACCCTGGCGCCGCGGGTGTGGGAGGCCGGGACGCCCCACGCGCGCCGTCCCCACCACTCAGCACCAAGCGGACCGCAGCTCTTCAGAATGAGCCCTATCCTTCCTCAAGCACAAAGTTTAAGATAAACTCAAGGTGTTTACCCAGTGTTAGTTTCCATGATCCCTTTCATACCAACACTTTTTTACTGTATTTTTAACCACAATGTAGGTCAGCCAAGGCTCCACAGCAAACGACACAGGCATTTTTGGACTCGCCGGGAACCTCCACCTGGAAGACATCACTTCAGGGGAACGCGCCTCCGCACAACCTTCGGGAGCTGGGGACTGGGAGCTGTGGGCTCCACACCGTCCCCCCCAACCTGGCAGGCCACAGCCCCCACGCATGGGCCTGGGAGGGCACCTCCCTCGGGGCAATGGCCGGAGCTGTGATGACAAGAGCAGGGAACGGTCGCCCGGGTCAGGGGGACCAGACCTCTTCCCTCACCCTCACCGCCTCAAGGGTCTCCAGTGCAGTCACCTGTCAGACCATGAGGGGAGTCCACAAAGACTCAAAAGGCAAAGCCCTCCAAAATTAACCATGTGCAAAATGAAACTGTCCCCCGAAAGCAGAATCTGAGGACAGGAGCCGAGAAAGGGGACAAAGCTCAGTCTGAAACGCAGCTGGAAACTTCATTTCTGAGGGCTGCGCGCCATATTGCAATCTGGAACCACAAGGAAGAGCCTGGAGAGGGTGAGGAGGGCCAGGGACCTGCCGGCCCTGAGCTGTGGCCAGAGGAGGAGGAGGAACGTCCCCTGAGGCCCAGGAGCCCAGGGTAACGGCACCAGGCCCTCCAGCCACACCGCAGCTAATGTAGACACGGTGAAGCTGAT